ACCATCATCATCATCACCATCAGCATCAGTGTGACAGGCATCACGCCTGCTTTTAGACATGGCAACATGAAATGCAACTTAATCTCCTGCATTACAAGCACAAACTTATGGCACATGAACATGAGCTATACCTCCGGATTTAATACCTGGCAGGACAACCGCGGGCTGCGAGAAGACCAGTTCTGTCTTAGGTTGCCTCAACCAACCTTACCTGGTTCGCACCCAAGCAATTACACTTAAATGCGGCTTCGGTGCGCTGTGCGAAACCCAAGCATATCCTAACAAAAAGGAGGTAAGCAAACCCACGTTTAGGCATGTACTGATGACTGTGTAGCTATTGTCTGCCTGCCTGTCTGCATTGGATTCGGACTTGCATTTAGTTATGGCCATGGTGCAACAACCACGGTCCCTAAGACAAGTCCGCGGTTCCGACAAAGCTGGGTCCGCCTGACCACTGGGCCTTGACAGATCGGGGCGGCAACTTGCAAACATATACATACATGCATACCTGCATTACATATAGATATAAAGCATACATTGGTTCTCATTCACATATATATATATATATGTATCCATAAGCTTTCTTGTGCCACTGTAGACCTGAACAGTAGTTGCGACAAGAATGTCAGACCTTCAACATAGCTACGACGCTATGGAGCAGAATTGCGAATGTAGAAGTTCCAAACTTGTATGTCTTGCACATGCATGACAACATGTGGCATGTAGCCGTAGGGTCCAGCTACTGAGGTGGTGGCGGTGGTCTCGGCATCCATCGGAGTGGCAGCCGAGCCAGATCTATCATCGCTCGCAGTGTGACCCTGACCGTTCAATCCGCATTTTGTTGAATCCTGACCCTGTGAAACTGTTATAAGTTATAAGGGAGAACCATTAGAATGCAGCGTCGGGCGTCCGATCAGCCACAACAGGTTCTTGGTGGGAAACTCAGTCGCAGCAGCTCTATGGCCAGCGACCTCCCTGTGCCTTGGATCATCTTCGCTGCGATGGCAGCCTTTCAAGTCTGTGCTTGAGAGATTTACAGGAGTTTCGGATGTGAGAGTTTGGGCCTAGTCATGGCCGTTGATGGAAGAAAGAAACAAACCGGCTTTGTCAGGATCAGGAAAACTGCGCGATGGCACATAGCATAGTGAAGAAACATGGAGTTCGGGTGAGTGCCGATATTTTGGGTTCTCCTACTGGCTGCAGACGCAGAGTGTGTCCCTCCAGCAGGTCACAAACAGCTTGAGCTGGAAGCAGACGTCCACGGCGGCACCTATCTCCGGTGAAGGCAGCACTGTGAAGTTCTCCGAAGAGGACAGCAAGGACCTGGGACAAGAAATCCTTGCACAAGTGTTTCTAGTGAGCCGAGTACTCAGGACCAGGCCTGAGCCCTAAAAATCTGAAAAGACCATGTTGCTTTTGCACTTGGGCGGGGACCACCGAGGATGACGACGCCCAGGACTCCACGCTGAAGATATCCATTCCGAAGGTTCCATTTGCAGCCTTTGGGCTGGCAGTTATTTCTTCAGAACCCGTCTTTGATCCCGGTGTCAAGACGGTGTTTGCTTCTGGTGCTCTGAGGAAGCACGAGGCAAGGCGGTTGTGATTGAGGCTGTGGTACAAGCTGTGGTCAGAATGACTCACTTTTGTCAGTAAGGAAGCATGGGGACCATGGAGACTAGCCCACCTTCAGATTGTGATTGTTGGGGCGTTCAGCCTTCGAGTTTGCAGTCCTTCTACTTGGCTTCTATGAATGCGACCAGAATGAACCCCGGTGCAATCAATCTCAGGAGCGCATCGAGGAAGAGTCTTTGCCTGGCGATGTGGTCAGCCTTGCAGCAGGACAGCCGGACTAAGCTCTCCATGCAAGTGTGTCGGCACGTGCCATGCAAGATGACTTGCAATCGGCTGCGACCTTGATAGGTGGAAGGCTGCATATCAGCATTTCATTAGCGCACAAAGCCCGAAAGGCCTAAAGGCATCGAGGATTGGGAGTTCATCGTAAAATACCGCCGCGGACGGCATACTGCTTGACTTCACCGCTACTGGTGTGACCGGTGTGACTGTCGAAACAGAATCACGCTGCACACCCAAGGGTATAATTATGTGTGCATACCTCCTGTGCCTGGTTGTGAGTGCGTGCGAGCACAGGCAAAGCTTCACGGCCGTCTATAGTAAACCGGCTTTAGAAGATGGCTTGAACACGATGCCGCTGTTTTCGTCAGGGTTGCTGACTTCGTTTCGATGGACCTTTGACCTAAGCACCGCACTTTGCTAGCTCAGCTCCATTGCTCTTCATGACTTATGTTTCTCAATAAGGCTGATCGGAAGGTTGTTTTACTGTTCTATGGGCAATAACGCTCGCATTCTAGTTTAAGGCTGTCGGTTGCTATAGAACGTTCGACTCTTCAGATACAGCATTGTCCGAAGTAAATACAGGGAGGTGCAAGAATTCTTCAGCGACAGGTTCTGAGCCTGGAGGCGAAGGCGCCTCCGACGCAGACGACATCCGCAACGATCCAATGCGCGACCTCTTAGGCTTAAACGCCGGGATAGATGCCACAGGGCTGGAGGAGCACCTCGTGGAGCAGGAGCTGCAGCTGCAAAACCTGCAGGAACAGTTGGCAGACCTGATGCAGGGCTCTGCCCTTGGGGCCTCTACACTGACGGAGCTCCTGCAGCAGCAGCTTGAGTGCCTGGCACAAGGTGTTTTTTGCTTAGGCAAGATCTGCCTGAGACCCCATAGAGGCGGCCCTGCCACAAGCACTGTCTTGCGGCACGACAACACGGTGGAAGTGCTTGGTCATTTACGTTCAGTCATGCATTGGATCACGCACCGGCAGCGGCCGTCTGAGTGGGAGCCCACAGCCCTCGCGACCATTGCGCTACAGTCTACTCATATCCCGGACCACGATGTCACCTACAGCCCTCCACGCCCGACGAGGGTGAAGGAAAGCCAGCCAATGCCCTCGTTGCGACGTGGCAAAGCGACTCCGCGGGAGGTGAGCCCAGGTGAGCGCCGGCCGTTCGCATCGGGTGGCCCCGGTTGGCGACAGCGTGGCCTACCCGCCAACTGCAGCTATGACGATGTGAAAAGGCCAAGCACCACCGGAGCCATCATGGTTGCTTCGAAACCCATGGATGGTCGGCCCCTGGTAGTTACACCTGGTGTATGCGTGACAAGCAACGGCGCCGCACATACTTCAGAAGCTGCAGATGCTTACGAAAGACCATCACGGGACCACTCTGTCGACGACGTTGTATCACTGCCTCCTCTTCCGGAGTCCAACCACTCCAACGATTCCGCCGTCTCGGTCAAGTCTCGTGAAAGTCGGCGTCGTCCTGGCATGTAGTGAAATAGCTGCCATGGCCCAGGGCCGGAAGCCTCCGTTGGCCCTGTTCTGTGATGAATGCCGGGTGAGGCTCCATGAAGCTGATTTTTAGGGCCTGCTCGCGTACCGTGTGAAGCAAACAGATTTCGAAAAGCATCCTTGTAATGGCATGTAATGGTTATATTTGCAGGCTAACATACCAATTCGCAGCATCGCTGTCAGCCCTGGAGCCACAAAAGTTGTTGCGCAAAGTCGCGCGAAGCCTTTCCTGCGAAGCAGGCTTTGGCCTCAGTCGGACAGGTCTCACAAACCCCATGTACCAAAAACGGTGCATCCGATGTGGTGTTGCTATGAGCTCGTGCATGTCGCATTCAGTTGCACATGGCCATTCAAGCGAATCACAGGAGTACAGTAACCTTGCATCCTGTGCTAATCGTGCGCAATTTGCTCGATATTCTGGAAAGACCATCCCTCCATCAATATAGTCTGGTCCGGGCTTTAGTCAGTGAAAGATACGCATCCTTGAGCTACATCTCGGCGGTTCCTCCCAGCTGATAGACATCGTTGTAGCTGGGGCCTAAACTAAAACCGTGCCTGCAGAAGAATTTCCATTAAACCCGGTACAGCAGGCAGCAGGGGGCCCAGTCAGAGACCCCAGGGTCTGAGAAGCCTCCGCCTCTACCGGCCGAGGTTGAAGGCGGGCTCTGCTCGCAGATGCCTCAGTCGCAGCAGAATTTCCTCTTATAGGTACTTATATATACACATATGTACAGACAGAGGGAGAGAGAGAGAGAGAGAGATATTATCAGAGTGTATGCTCGGCCATGCGATCTGTGAGGCTCTGGTGCTTTGGGCGATTTGGCGGAAAGGACACGGATCATTTGCAGCCCGAGATGGTTTTAACACAACCCGACCCCGTGTGTCAGTCTAAGCAGGGCTCGTTCCGATGCACAGCTCAGGACGTTAACAGCAGCCATGCACCCACGGTTTTCATTTTGCATCCTGATCGGTGCGAGCAGGGCCCACAAGACGAGTTCCTGTGCAAAGCAGTGGCAGAAGCAATAGAAAGACAGACTCAAAAGTAGTGCAAAGACAACAGACGTCGCAAAACCAACATCGTACGTAAGATTTGAGATCAACAGTACACTCAAAACCGCACCGTTGGCCAAGGTTTTTGTGAGGATCAAAGTGGAAGGGGAAGGGTCCCGTTTTTGTTTTCCTAGGGTGGCTGTGGTGTGGGGTCCTTGGTAGGTTTGGCCCGGGCCAGCCTGGTCTTTGGTTTTGTGGCCCTGTGGGTCCCAAAACGCCTCAGGTCTTGTCTTAGCCCTGCGGGTCGCCCGGGTCGCGGGCCACACGCTGCGGCCCGTGAAAAGTTAGGGGCGTGTTTAGAAAACGAGACATTGATGAACCGGAATCGCCAAATCAGGGTGCGCCTTTCTTAAATGATGATCCGGAATGGCCCAACAGGGGGAGGGGGGGGGGGGCGTATATGCGTGCGATGAACCGGAATCGCCACAGGAGGTGCGTGGTTAAGATATGTTATGATGAACCGGAATCGCCAAAGGAGGGGCGTGTTAAAGATGTATGATGAACTGAAGTCGAGAAATGATTTCGTGTGTTCAAGAAACATGATGAACCTGAATCGCCCTGACAGGGGCCTCGAACTTGTAATCCCCCAATAGCATGGGGCAAAACAAGACCTTGCAAATTGTAATTCCCTAATAGCTTGACACAGAGAAGACCCTGCAAATTGGAACTCCCCGATAGCTTGACACAGGGCAGGAAATCCTTCAATACTTTGTGGCAAAACAGGAATAGCTTGACGCAAAGCAAGACCCTGCAAACTGGAATTCCTCGATAGCTCGACGCAAGGCAGGAGCCTCGATATTGCAATCCCCAAATAACTTGGGGACAATGCAAACAAAACGTTGCAAAGTGTGATTCGTCCCTGCAACTTGGAATGACACAAGACGGGAGCCTCGAACTTATCCCCCGATAGTTCGGGGCAAAACAGGACCCTGCAAATTGGAATTCCCCAATAGCTTGACGCAAAGCAAGACCCTGCAAATTGGAATTGATAGCTTGACACAATACAGAGCCTCGAAATTGCAATCCCCCAATAGCTTGGCAAGACCTCGCAAGTTGTAATTCCTCAATAGCTTGATGCCTAACACGAGCAAATGCTGCAGTTTACAGTATTTGCAGCCAAAAAGAGGGCCAACGTTAGCAAAGGGTTACGATAAAAAGCCCTCCGCCGAAAGTGGAAGCAGGTCGGAGTTCTATTACATCTCGTGCAAAGCCAATACACCGCTGTGGTCAATTTGATTCGTCATCGGCGGGAAATCGGCTTGCTCATCGTACTGCCAACTAAATCAGCGCGCAAAGACCCGTGCCGCTTTGCACCCCCGTAACCTCACGTGTCGGAGTTGCCACTCAACTCTGCGACAATCTTCTCAGATCTGCAGAGCCATCACCAGGCAAGGCTTGAAACAAACAAAAGCAGACGTACACCCTGCGAGTACTACCGCCGACCGTGTCCAGGACCCGTGCCTCATTGGCAGCACTGGCTTCGGAAGAGGTGCAGTGGACTTTTAGATTGCTGGGTAGATTCGGACCTATGCAGCATGCGCAACCTGAGATTCCAGCTGCAGCTGGAAAGCCGCCCCCAATTCACCTTAGAGCACCTAAGCGTAAACCGGAGCCTTGCAGACCGAAGCTCGTCGGCAGCTGGAGATGCGTCTCTTCCACAGAATCAAGTGCCAGTGATGGTGCAAAGTCGCAGTAGGGGATGCTACATCGCGCAAAATGTCAGAATAATTCCTCCACATTCCTCCTCCTATTTTCAGGCCTGGAACAAGTCGAGGCCATGACCAAGGCAGCTGGAGCTTGGCAGCAGCACTTTACAGCGGGCTTTTGCATTACTGTGCACTGCACTGCTTGAGCATTTGATCAAGAAATGGCTGGCGCCAATTTTAGCTTCGACAACCACCCGGGACAAAGTTCAGCGACAGCGCCGGTTAAGAAACAGATATTTTTTCGTGAGGGGGTGCTCGATTTCTTATTTGTGAAGCGCACGTTTTGTTAGTAAAAAAAGAATCGGGATTCGAGCATACCCTGGATTTCTTAACTCAAACTTCTTAATTTGAAAACCCACCAAAATAAGAAATTGAGCCCCTCATTTTCTTAAATTTAAGAAAACGAGCCCCTCAATTTCTTATTTGGGGTGGTTCTGGGCTGGCCTAATAAGGGCTTATTATTTTGGGGGGTTCTGGGCTGGCCTAATAAGGGTTTAATAAGGACTGTACTAAGCCTTAACAACAGCTTTGGAGGGCTCCAGAGGCTCTATAAGCGCTTAATAACGGCGTTTTTAAGGCTTTGTCAAATGAAAAAAACCACCAAAATAAGAAATTGAGGGGCTCGCTTTCTTAAATTTAAGAAAATGAGGGGCTCTTTTGGGGTGTTCTGGCCGGCGCAAGACAGTGTCCAGCTCCCTTAGTTTCTTGGTTCTCCTTTTTGCGCAAACAAAAATGGCAAAGACAAAATGAGAAGAGCAAAATAAGAAATTGGCACTCCGAGGTCAGGGCCCCCTGGATTTCTTATTTTCAATTTGTGCATTTTGTCGATTTTTTTGTTCGTCGCGCGGCTGTCCGAGGGGCTCAATTTCTTAAACCAGTGATTTCTTAAGCAGTGCTGTTGCTGTTGTTCGTCAGGTGCTCGATGAGACGCTCCATGCGGTGGACAGCTCATACTCCATCTCAACGACGGATGCCTTGGCGCAGCTGAATTCCAAGGTGGAGGCTCGCAATGACGTCTGCGAAATCGTGACTAGATTGTTTGTCCTACAGGGCCATGGCTAGGATATCAGGCTTGCGTGGTCTTATCGTCGTCTATGTATCTGCACCGCGCGTGGGCCAAAGCAAAGCAGCAGAGCAGTGGCGAACTTGAACCTCGCAACTGCCGAAAGACACGTGGGGCAGACCTCAGCCCCAACCAACTTCCAAGCTGTACCAACAGGGTTGCACTAGCGAAGCATACCAAGCATCGGTGTGAGGTACTAGATGCCACCTTTCAGAAGATGGATGCATCCCTTCTTCGGGGTGGTGGGCTCAAAGAGGAGGCAACGGATCGGAATGGGTCTTTGTCACGACCAGCTGCGGAAGGTCAGCATGCACTTGTCGTCATATCACGAGTCTTGCACATGACAGCCGTTTGCCTTACAGTGCATTCAGAATGACTCTTTGTAATTGAAAGCCTGGCCCATCTGCGGCAGGCTCTCGTGTCCTCCTTGCAGGCACAAGCGCAGATTGAACTCACGTGTAGTCGCTCAAAGTCACACGATGCATCACAAGACTCAGGCAGAGACACTGTAAAGCCACACAGGTCAGGACGGTGACAGCTATGGAAGTTGCACCGGGTTTTCTGGTTTGGCCTCAAAAGCTTTCCACAAAAGGGCTTGCGAGCATGAAGGGACAGACCGCTGTGCAGCAGGAGCTGACTGAGATCCAGAGCCGTGCGGCGCAGAAAGCATCGTCCCTTGAGGACCGACTCCAAGATGCTGGTGACACGCATGGCAGCCCAGCCATGCAGATTTGATGCGGAACTCCTGCTCTAAATGCGATCCGGGCTGCCAGGTAAGGGTGGAAGACCTGGCCATGAGACTGCAGGCTCACACGTGCTGTGCACCGGCGGTCAGCAGTACGCCTGCACATGCAGCCTTCGAGCGCGTGCCGGGGTCGGAAAGGGATGGGTCGGCGATTCTCTTTCTGCTTGACAGTCAATCTCACGAAAACGAATTGCAGCTACAGCCTTCTAAAGCCTATACTTGTCGTATTGCCCGAAGGTCTTGGACGAGACCTTGCACAGCTCCCGGCAACTCTATGACGAGAACAACCATAAAATCGAGGCGGATGTGGGCATGCATGACCGTTTGATTTCAAGCTTGGTGGCGTGATGTCGTCCGCGGCATCTGTGGCCTCGAAGGAGGTACGAGTGATAACCGCAGAAAGTCTGTAGATTTTCGGGGAGATGAGCGCCATATGGATGAATACTGCGCGCGCAATCAGAGGGCGAGATAGCGGGGGAGATTCATTTTCAAGAGTGGTTGCATGCAAAGCCGGCACACACTTTGGCTTGAAACCATGTGGCAGCTGCAGCGACTTCTGTCCAGTCCTTGTTTGCTGGTTGTGCTGATTGCTGTTCTCGCGCAGCTCACGCGGCTCGTTTTCCCGAGGTTGTAGTTTCGAAACGCTTTATTGCGGGTAGTTGTCTGCCTGGACACCATGCTTGGGCTCTTCACATCCCGCGCAACCAGCCTCTCCGCCGTCAGCAAGAGCATGGAGGAGTCGAAACAGCAACCGCCACCAACGCCACTTGGCAGACAGGTATCCGATATAACTTGTGTGTGGAACGCGTCGAGCTGCTAACGGTTGAGGTATCTCAAGAACAATCGCTGCCACACCGCTTCTCCCGGTGCGGATTGATAGACAAGGAAGATCCACTACTAGCCGTCACTAGCCAACCGCTCCAACTTTGTTATGGTCACGGATCAAACTTGAGGCCGCTTGGAGAGAGTCAGACCTCGTCCGAGATGCCCTCCTTGCCTCCTTCAGGAGCCTTTGACGGTGTAAGGAGTGTGGACTTGGGTGTTGGAGGTTTTGTGCTTTGCACTTCCACGCTTGCGGCTCATAGGGTTTGTGCGACTACTAAGAGTTCGTCACAGGCGGACGAGGCTTAAACGTATCGCAGGGTCCTAAGATTTCGATGAAGAACACACACATCACAGAGAGGGATTGCGCAGTGCCCTCTTGCAGTAGCATGGATTTGAACTCGTCATGACAGAACAATTCTCAGCCTCTTCCATATTCCTCATGACGCTATATCAAGCATGCATCAGTGACACCGATCATGATCCTTACCTTTGACCTCAGGAGGCGTACACGATGTTGGCACTACATGGCTCCACACCAGTCACGGTTTCATGCTCTCACCACACTACACATGCATGATGATTTATGTGGGAACGTAAACATATCCATTTACAGACGAATTGCCACAGACACACACGCAAACACACATACACACACATAGGGGAAGGACACATAGATAGGTACTCGTACATATGTATAGGTTTCTGCAGACAAGCAGCCCGTGCTATCTTTTTCGACTGTTCGTGTTATAATTGTATTTACAACATAAGTTCGTTCGTGCATGTAGAAGTAGAGAGGGGGAAGCACGCCGGCATCACAATACAACTAGCAAGGCCGGGTGTGAATTCAAAAGCAACCTCGGTTGTGGGCATAGATCCCCAGCGATGTGAGAGGGATAAAAATTCATAATGAAACCATAGCGCTAACATTGTGCTGGCATTTCACACGCACATCCTGAACATGTTATGGTTCGTTGTCCTGGCGTAAAGTACTGCAACATCGAGTTGCATTTTGTGCGAGTGTGAGACGAAAGGATTGTCCAAATACCCCCGCATCGCCCCATCCACTGAGGCCACCTTTACAATTCAAGAATTCCCGGTCCTGCCTGCAGGAACGATTGCGCACCCACGTTTCGACCGAGAGCCTTCTTTCGGATCGACAAGGAGCCTTGGTGCTACCGGCCTCGACTGCTGTGTCACTGCAGCCTCTGGTAGCATGAGCCACACCGACCCATAGCCTACCCGTTCCTGCCACATTGCTCAATCCGACGCAGCCTGAAGAACCTCAAGGTCGCGTTGAAATTCAGAATGTAGGACCAGCACTGGCACCAACACGAGCTCTACAAGTGCAAGCACGGGCAGCGCCATTCCGGACACCGCACGACGCTGGGCTGAGAAGCTGTCAATCTTGACAGTCATTGATCAGATCTTTGTGAGGAAGGAGGAGCATGTACCTTTCGATATCGGGCCGGGGCCCTTCGTAGCCGCACCAGCATGAAAAAGCACTGTGGAAGGTAAGCGTAGGCGTGGGAAACCGCCATAGGCTCGATATTGCACCCCAAGAATCTCAACTTCGAGGGATCGGGGCAAAAGTGCACCCACGGATAGTTGTGTGTACAGGTCGAGGTCAGTTGGGGCAGGGGGGGGGGATGGGTAAAACCGGTGATTCTGCCCGGAAGCGATGATCTAGAGATGGTGATGACTTTGTTGCCGTGGATGCTGATGACGGTCTTGATTTAATTGAAGATGAAGATGATGATGGCGTTGGCGATGACGATGACGATGACGATGACGACGATGATCTTAATGATGCTGTTGTGGTGGATGATGGTGGTGGTGATGATGATGATGAGGAGGAGGGGGAGGGGGAGGAGGAGGATCTTCTGACTACTTCGATTCAGGACATTTTCGGAAAGGCTGGCCTTTTCCGTCAACTCGCCGGTCCAATCACTCGAGTCGTGATGCATATCCAAATTGCCCGATTTGCGGGAGCGCCAATATGGAGTTGGTACAGTGTTGCCAGGTTCATCTTGGGAACATGTTTGTGGACTTGAGGCAGCACCAGGAGCTTGTTCACCAGCCGCACCACGAAGTCCATCCCGCGTGACCTTCAGAATCTCGCTCGGCACAGTCGTTTCAAAAGGTTTCTTGTGCTGGGCGGCTTGGGGTTTGGATTCTGCTTTGCTGCTGCCCGGTTGTCCACCGTCCGGTGTTGTTGTCCATGCTGCCGGTTGCCTGGAAATACAGCCCTGGGCTCTGGACCACCACCTCGCCTTGCAACGGGCAGCACAGCTGACTGCATGGCAATATCGGTAGATTTCTCGATGTTGCTCTTTGCAAGCGTGTTGTTCGTTGTTGCTAGCGCAGTCTGCTACAGCACCTCCTGAACTATTCATAGACCAGCCCAAGACTGAATTCTGCATCCCCGTGATGCTTTCGCCGAGACAGGCGGAAGCTTCTTGCCAAAAGTTTCCTTGAAGACAATGGGCGGCCGGGACGGCAGATAACAGCTTGTATTTGGGGTTGCCTTCTGGGCTTCTTGCCCTTATCAGCTCGCAAACAGGCTTCGGCTTGTGCATATGTGCGTGTAGAGAGTCGGCACAGGTTGGTGTTTGAGGGCAGGGGAATGCTGGTGATGACTATTCAAAAACTGTGGTTTGTGAACTGGCTCACCATGTAGAGATGAGGTGCGCAATAGGTGCGCCACTTAATCCGACACTAGAAGGTGAAGCTCCCACAGAAGCCTCCCAACCGGATGACATGTTGTGAAGCAGGTGTGAAACAGAAACAGGCTTGAGGGTTTTGAAAATTGCTACGCGTATGGAGCAAGTTGCCATAGTTTGTCCCAATTATCTGCCTCCTAAAGTTTCCCATGTCACAGAAGTGTTTAAGTCACAGTCAATAAAGTTTAGGGATGCCTGCATCCAAGAGCGACGCCGTGGATGTCTGACAAGAACCATGCATCACACCGATGATGAATCAGAGCTAGCATCGACGAGGATTGCAAAACTGAATCGAACACGTAGACAGCCTAAGCCTCTCTCCTGGAAGAGCTGTAGTCAGCGCTGCACAAGACAGGTTTATGCACGTCAACGAGGCGAAGCACTCCTGGGGTCGCACTCGTTCCTTGGCAGCTCAGATCATGCCAGAGCCTTGAAGACAAGCCCGCATGTCTCAGTGCATTTCTCATCTGACAGCGCGGCGGGCACATGTGAATTCTACTTGCCAGTCCTAGCCGTCGCAAGGCTATCCCCTGCATGTTGCCGTGCAGCAAAAGAAACCTGCAATTGTGAGGCGAGGGCGGGGGCTGGGACGGAATCTTGTGGAATAGCCTCGTATATCGACTGATGTCCAAACGGTCACGAACATCTCTGAGATCGGTCGTTGCCCTGATCGCAGGGCTCTCCTCCGCCTTGGTGCGCGGCCCACCTGCAAAACCAACCGGGGCCTGACGCCGCAGGCGGGCTCGGGAGGCTTCGAGGAAGGACGGCTGCTTTCTAAGGCGGAGGTCCGAGGCATGCTGCGCCAAGCCCGTTTTCGGTTGGAGGCTCATGAAATCTCAGGAAGAGCACTGGCAGCATCCAGCTACAGCCGCACTGAGAACAGTCGCAGAACAGTGATGCCGGAATCAATGCATTCAGCGGCTGATTACTAAGCGACAGGATGCAAGATTATGCATCAAGGCAAAGCTTGGCCTGTGCCGTACCATGAACCATGCATTAGTTTTTGAGGCACTGGCCATGCGGCTTCAAAGTCGCTGGGGCGGGTACCAGCACCTTGGCTGCCAAGAATTCCCGACACCGTTCGGGCAAAGAGCAGCCTTTGTACTTGTTGAGTTGCTAAGCTTTCATGCAATCTGAGGGAGGTCTTGGACGTCTTCGAGGAACTCGGAGATCACGAAATTCGTTTGCAACGCCGGGCGGTTACGACCAGCCAGCTCAGTGATGGCTCCATTGATCGAACCGCAGACCTTTTGACAACAGCTCAGGTCGCATGATACCTCACACATGCCTCAGCTCCGAGCAAGAGTCTCCCTAGCTGAGCATGCCATTTTTGACCGCTTTCGAGTGTTTACACAGAGGCCATCAGAGGCTTATAGGTTTTGCTGGACCTGGACACGCATATCGCTCGAAGGCGCCGACTAGTAGCCCCACGTGACGCTTCGGCCACATCCGGTCCTCATGGAAGGGCCCCTTTACGATTTAATAGTATGCCTCTCTTGCCGGTGGAGCATGGGAACCAATTTAATCTGGATAGACTCTAGTTTGTTGTGGGACGGATCCTGGGACAGCCTCCACGCACATGGGCTCCACATCTCATCTCCAGACTCTTTGGCTTTGGCTAAGTCCCGGTGTCCATCCTGGTTGACTCAGCCCAAACTAGAGGCTATCCAGACATGTGGGCATGTCTCAACAGTCGCGAAAGGAGTCAATTGCCAACAAAAATTGACACATACCCACCTCAGATGAAAGGGGCGAAGCCCAGGGAAATGCCCTGTGTGGAGGCAAAGAGGGCTTTTTGCAGGCAGCCGGCAGTGACGTACGCTGTCATCTTGTTCCAGCAAATGCAGCCAGGCCATCGACGAGACGCTGCGCTCTCTCGGCGTCCTCTCCAGAGGAGGACTTCCAGAATTGCGGTTCATGTCTGGGCGTTAAAAACCATGTTGGTGTTTTTTCCCGGAGGGCGGGGGACTGGCGATACATTCAACAGCAACTGGCCTGTGAGTGTAGACTAGCGGTTGCTGCTTCGAGCTCAAGTACGGAAGGATCAAACCATGCCTGGTAATAATCAAAGGCGACTCTCTGCAGGCATGCTACACTGCCGCACAGCGGTGGCTGCTCAGCAAGGAAAACTGCGTGTATACTTAGGGCAGGGACTGTTGTGAGACCACACCCTGACATGACATGCTTTATCGACTTTTCAGGAGACTTGGCAAGTTCATATGACCCCTAGCAATCGCCGGTGTGGTGCTCCCTTATGATCTGTGTGCAGGTGTGTGTGTGTGTGTGTGGTAGTTGCATTCGTATTCTTGCATAGGTTGCCGTAGCAACATAGTCGTACCACATGCGCAGGCATGTATCGTCAATCGATGTACAATGAAAGCAACAACGCATATAAGTTATAACAGCAAGACACATTATCTGTCGTTGGAGCACTTATATACGAGCATGACCTCTGGATTTCATAGCATGTGCCGACGAATACTATGTTCAGATGCCAGGTTGTAGAATCATTCAGCTGCTGCCCTATCTACAGAGCAAACACAGGCACGCATAAAGACATGAAGGCATATTTTCGCGGAAAGAATCGACTACACCGGCATACTGGCTGAAAAGCATCCGTTACCTTTAGGTACACAGAGTCAGAAGGAATTCCATCTTCTTCTCTACCTGCACCTGTGCTTCTGTGTCTGGCGATCTTCGATGGAGACTGCACGGATCCACAGTTGTGCCTTTCAATACAGTGCCATAACAACGGATGTCTGAACAACTTCACATGTGGCGAGCAGGGACAGCTAAGATGTTTGTTGACATGTGTATATTTATATGTATAATATGAGGCATTGCATGATGGAAATCTTCACTGGAAGTTTGGCAAAGCATTTATGAGTCCGCAATACAACTTCAAAATGATAATCGCATGACTGGGTTGTCCCATGCTGGCAAAACCCAGACGAAGCGGCCTTTGAATAGCCCATTGTCCTTTCAAGGATTCCAAAGCATCAACATGACCATAAACATGATTTATGGCAAGACCCGTATGCTGGCAAAATAACTGCACTCCTTGTGAAAAAGAGGACGAAACAGTGTCATATAACCTGCGAAAATGGCAGTAGCACGGTCGGCACATCGCACGTCGCGTATATTACGACGTGATGTTATATGGCATTGTATTTACACGGTCTTATAAACAGGTATGTATAGATGCATACATGAATACACATCAAAGTTTACGATTCTGTATTTATGCATGTATGCATGTATATGTATATGTATGTGTATATATATATATACTTATTTATGTATATACATGGATGCACACACGTATAAGTGTATATATACATACACAAATATACATATATATATATGTGTGTGTGTGTAGGCACATGTCGCCACCTCGCTTACAAGATGCAGCAGAATAGAGGTACTTATCTACGTATCATGTTGGCATACGCTAAGAATTCCTACTTTTTTACACATCGGTGTACATATGGGCACAAGCAATCCGTATGTGCATATATATATATAGAGAGAGAGAGAGAGACATACACATACAAAAACACATGCATACACACGGAATGAGAGCACGTATGCACGCAGGCACCTGTATAATCCTGTGTACAAAAGCTTTATGTGTGTACATGTATACGTATATATATATATATGTATGTATGTATGTATGTATGTATGTATGTATGCATGTATGCATATATATATATATATATACATATATTGAAAACTACATTGGTATGAACACTTGACCTTATATTTGGATGTTTCACAAACAACTTCGGTTTAGGAAACACAACCGAGCATAGGTTCAGTTCTGGTACGCAGCTGTTCCGGAACACAACATGTATGAAACCAGAGACGATCCACGAAAAATACTTCTGACCCTATCGTCCACATTTACCGAAAGAAACCGAAGACAAACCCGAAAACACAAAATGACAAACAACAAACAGAATGTTTAAAATCATCAACAGTTACCAAAACAACCAAACTGAACTGGCCGCCTAGTCCTGGGGCATCGGAAATGTGGCAGTGGCATTCTGGGTTTGTTGTTTTTCTTGTTTGCTGGTTTGGTGATTTTGCTTTCTAAGGCTTGGTTGTGGATTTGTGTTGTTTCCTATACGCACAAAGTCCTTTCAAAGAAGCCTTGTTTGACGTTTGTGAGCTGGGATTTCTGGATGCCGCACAGGGGCTGTCGGTTTGCGCAGTCTGTAACCCGTCTTTCTGTATACTTACAATTGCAACAGGCACCGGGCAGGCGCAGGCTGGGTGGTCACAGAAAACAAACAGTTCACAGGAAGTTGAAACAAGTTGGTTCCAAGATTTCCGAACAGTTTATGACACAAGTCTCAACTTTTCCAACTTTGGTTCAAGAAGAAACGTTGAGCGGAAAGGGGAACCTGGGTGCAGGAGCAGCCGAGCAAAGAGTTGAACAAAAGTTGATGGAGGCGAGAGGGGGAGGGGGGAAGGAGGCGGGAAGGGGGTGGGAAGGGAAGTCCAGCTTTCCCCTGGGAAAGAGTTGAACAAACGTTGAAAAACAAAGTTGAAACGTTGAATCATAGTTGAAAAATAAAAAAGTTGAACAATTAAAAATGCCGACAAAAAGTAGCGGCCAAGCGGCCGGTCACCAACTTACTAACCTACTGGTAAGCCTGGACCGACATGATCTGCCAATTTATCAGCTATTTTAGTACACGAGCTGCAGGCGAGACAAGACGGAAACACCTTGAGGTCTGGGAGTCTGGCTGAAGGCCCTCAATGGGATATTTCACTGCCTGTTGCAGGACCTGTTGCGAGTGCACGGCTGGATTACATGGCAGAGCAGCTGGAGGCTGTAGAGCCTACAGGATGTCTGCCGGGCATTGTTCAATGTGATTACGAGCACGAATCAGTAGGAATCTTGTTCTCCAGGCTTTCATGGCGAATCAGACTCCCATCAGCACACTCCCGAGGCCTTGCAGGAGCAGCTCGTTCGTGCACAGCCGGTGTCCGCCACAGCTGCACCGCAAGACACTGCGTGTAGTCATCGATGCGCATGCATGTCTACTCGTAAGCACGAGCCCCCATAAAATCCAGCAGCCACAGCCAGTTTTCCGAACCCCGCTGTCTCAAGCTCGAACTTGCCGCCTAGCCTTGGAATGAAGCGTTTTGAGCCCCAGATGTCTCTGCCTCGCCTGGTACCTTCGACCCCTCAGGCTGGCACGCGGGGCTTGAATCCCCGTGTTGAGCAGCTCGAGGTCGCAACCAAGGCCACCGTATCCAGCAGCAACTTTACAGTCAGCGAAGGACGGGTTGAGAGAAAGAGACACAGTCGAGCTAGGGTGCGGAGACGCGCCGGGGGCGCGAGGTGCTTCAGCGTGCTGAAGACAAGACTGTTTGTTTGTATATGTATAGTGATCTGCCGGAGAAAAATAGGAGAGAGGGAGGGACAGAGAGGGAGAGAGCTAGACGCGTGATCCCGTGGCCTCAAGGGCAGGGTTGGACGGCGACCCCTAAGCCCGGCTGACAGAGACACAGAGAGAGAGAGAGAGAGAGAGAGAGACAGAATCAAAGGGGCGCGACAGCCGGCGCGGGGAGCCTGACCTGCTCCCTGAACCCCGGAGAAGAAGAAGAACAGAATCAAAGGGATGCGTTCTCGAGAGCTCTTGTATAGCCGAGCCAATGGAGGGAACCCCCTCATTGGAGTTGGTAGGAGTTTGACGAAAGACTCGAACACCTCGAGAACAGCGAGGAGTGGGGAGCGAAGCAGGCCAATCGGGGGGGAGCACGGCCGACACAGACGGAGGTAGACGCACCGCGCTTATCCTGGGCGGCTGGGACCCTGAGAACCTCGCTGCAGACACGCTACAGGAAGCAAAGCAACTACTCCAGAACCTAGCAATCGAACTTGACATCACGGAGACTTCGTGCCTGGAGTGCGACGCGGCTATGTACTGCAAGAAATGCTGACTCGATCGATCCTTGACAACACATGCCTTGCGGCTTCACCTTGGACCTTGAGGTCCTATTCATTTTGATGTTCCGAGGAATAATGCAGAGGCATGTGAACAAAAGTCATGCAGGTGTCCATTTGATACGCAGTGGAACATCCAGTCGTGCGCTATGATATCATGTCTACTAAGAGTCTACTAGCTTACTGGAGTGAACCCGAATTACGTTTTCACGGTCTCCTCAAAGCCCAAATGGGGGGCTGGCCGGGGGACCTGAACAGTCCCTCATGCCCTGTGGAAGAAGAGAGAGAGCGAGAGAGAGAGATGGACCGTTG